ACCATTAATAAATATGCCCATTTAGGTTAAAACACATGTAACCTAAACATAACTGAAGACGTGAAATAAGATTAGAAGCTACTGCGGCTAGTTACTTCTTGAAAAACCTTCAGTGTTGAGAAGCGAAAAGTGATAACTCACTCTTTTTGCACTTACAGAGGTTTGTCATCACATTAAAAGGTATAGTTGCCATATAAGCCTATATTTCATACAATTATAACGTTTCTTTTTAACTTGGAAATGATTGTGGGGAGGGGTCACGGGCTACACAATTGTTCCAACAAATTATGGGATTGGAGCGTGATGCAGTCCCACACCACCTCCACGCCAGACTTTTAAGAATACCACTCCAATGTGGTGTGGGACGAAGAGATCCAACATTTCGTTTAAGAACACGGCTGTTAGACCTCTAAGAAACCCGCTCTTGCACCATTATGAGCGAGGATGTCCCTAGAAATTTAGACAGACACAGCTGGTGGTAACGTCGGTAAGGCCTTGATGGATTGTTACGTATGATATCATCTTTATCTCGTCCTGATTACTTGTTTTGTTAGTAGTCTTGCCTTTATCATTATCATTGCAATATTTATTTAAAAATACTTTGTTATTGGGCACTTAAGATAACAATGAACCTAAACGGTGTCAGCACTGTCAGGGTAAACGTATTTTAGAACAAACATGCACTGATTATGCTTCATTCTTTACCAATTTTGTATTCCATCACTTTTGCATTCATGTGTGCTTCAAAACATTTTATCCATCAAATGGATCTGGTCACGTGGTCAGGTCACGTCAGTAATCATGTGAGCTAGATAGATAGATAGATGAACAGATAGATAGATAGATAGATATAGGTATAAGAAAATGAATAAATGTGTATAAATATACATATAATTATAAATATATGCTATATGAATACACCCATACATGTATGTGTGTGTGTATATATATCATAGAATCTATGATATTGTACATAATTCGTTCATGCCTTCCATGTACCTCTAATCTTCATGCCAGATTCATGATAGTTAATACATCGTAGCTTATCTGAGTAAAGGAGAAATTGCAAAGTCTATATTAATTCGATGAGATAATTTCTCTTCTAGAAAGAAGTGAAAGTTGAATAAACATGGACAACTGCATAATGTAAACTCAGAACTTTCCTAACTCTTACGTAAGGAATTCATAATTCGAAGAAAGTAATGACTAGACAGACATCTCTAAAAGAAAAAGAGAAAAAAGAAAAACGTTCATACTAATAAAACGAAGGAATTAGACATTTTATAACAATTGTTTCATTTCACGCAACAGCCACTCTGCCGCACCTCCCCCACTTCCCCTCCTCCTCTTGACCCTCGTCCCCTTACCCCCTAGATTCCCCCATCCCCTTAGCCCCCAACGACCCCCCCCCTACTTAGCCGCGCCTGCAGTAATTCCTAGAAAAAGGAACGGCTTGTTATTACGTCCATGAGAATCCCGAAGAGGAACTGGCGAGAGAAGAGCTCCATCTTGCAATTTTTATCTGACGGATTTTTTTTACTCACATGCCTTGATATATTTTTTTCTTTCTTTGATGATGAAGAAGTCTTCTCTAGCGTTATCCGCGGATTGCTATCCACTCGGGCCTCCACGCTGATGCACGATAAATCACGTGATGAAAGCGGATACAGGATATCCTCTTTCTTTTAAGATACCTCGCGCGCGCTCCCTTTCCGAGGAGTCAATTTTAACGCGGTTTTAATCAGTGTTTTGGTGTTACTCGTTAGCACGAGTACTTTATCCCAGGAGAATATATTGGATTTACTGGACACTATAAACAATTATGTAGAATCGAAAATCTTATCATTGACAGTACATTCTCCTCCAGAAACAAGCTACAGTGTTTCGTAGACATACGTACACATATACTGCATAAACATACACTCCCCCCTACCCTCCCGCATGACCTTACATACAAAATCACAGCGTATGTGTGCAAATGTATGTGCATGCATCATGGTAAGCATGCGTAGAAAGAAAATGACAAAGAAATGACTTGATTCACACAATATGCCATATTCATTACTCACACGTTTACGGTTCCACGAAGCCAAACAACCCGTGAGAAAGCTTCATTTCCGACCAAAACCTTTACCGTGAGCGCTTCCTTTAGCCACGTGTAAGA